TCCTATAAAATCCCTATTCACTCTTGGCATTTTACTGACCTTCATTGTCGGATAGCCCTGTAGTTCTTCTTGAAGAAAATACTTGACATGCACACATTCGTCTTGAATGATGATTGCATCAAAAATTGATCTTCCGTTTTGTGGACAGTACAGATTTGTACACACCTTGAAGTTCAGTGAAAAAAACAAGGCCAAGTAAATGAGATAGAAAATGTAATCATTCTCAGAGGCATAGTACAGCAGATGACAGTAATCTTTTGTCTCCTAACACTCCTATTCCTATTTATAACCCGTGGCATTATTGGCATTTAGCGCAAGGAGAGCTATACCTATAGCAGGCTATATGTTGGCACTGTGTACATGCCGCCACTGCGCTTAAAAAAAATATAACTGATTACCACCAGCCAGTACTAGATTTGCTGGTGAACAGTTAAGCTGGTTGTAGACATTAGATCCTGTCTGATCCATTTGCCTGGCAAGAGGGTCCCATAGAAATCCGAATGTCACTTTCAAATGTTTAGAGACATTCATCTAATAACTATTGACACTTTTGCTCTTTTGCTGGTGTTCTTTAGTCCTGGCATGCTTCGTATCCTAGGGCAACAATGTTGCTCCTCCATAGATAAAGTAGAGTGAGAGATATCTGTCCCTGTAGAATGGCAACATCACTAGAATAAAGGAAACAAAGCCTTAAAAAAGCACATGCAGCCACCAAATCTAAGGACTGGTGAGCTATAACTTTGCAAATAAAATGATGGACTTAATGTGCAGATATTCTGCCAGTATGTTAAGTGAAAATGTTCTACATGATTATTATCTGCTTGGATATCTAATAGGAAATCTAACAATGTGCAATAACTGAAACAATGTATATACAGTACTGTTGGTGGGGTTGACTTTCCTAAAGGAGTAGAGAATCTTCACTTTGCAAACTGAGTGTGTGTGTATGCATGTGAGATATATCAGGGACTGATGTGATTTACATTATGCAAAGCACTGTGTAGATTGATTGCACATTCTAAATAATGATACATAATTAAATACATTTTCACTTAGTTTAGTAAATGAGGTGATGCCAAGTAATATTTCACTTTGAAAAGTATTCTCAGTTGTCTGCAAGAAACATTTCAAAAACAGGATTTTTTTCTTGCACGTTTGGATGATTAAAGTCAACTTTGCAGTGAACATGTTCTACTCTTATAGTAAATTAAAGGAGAACTATGAGATGAGTGATTTCCACTTAACTTGATTTGTGTGAGTTCCTCGCTGTCCCATGAATGATATGGATGTTCAGCAGGGACACCCAATAAATGGGTTTTACAGATTTAGAACCAGATCTGTAGGGCCAAGTCTTTAAGACCCCATTCACACTGAGCGATATGTAGTGCAATTTCAGCTCCAATTTGGAGCTGTTCACATCTCACAGCTCAATGTCGCCTTTAGCTCCTCGCTCAAGCTTGTAGCTCGAACATTTTTCGGTGGATTTTGTGCAATTTGGCCCAATAGACTTAAATGGTGTAGCTAAATGTCGCGCGACATTGCGCAACATTGTTGCGCTATGTCGTGTTACAGAAGTGTCACTTTTTCACAAAAATATAACAAGGAAGGAATAATGTCACATCAAGACCGCTTTTGATTGGATAAATCCCAATGTAGCAGCTACAAAGTCCCTGCGAAAAGTCGTGCTACGTAGCGCAACAAAATGTGCACTGTAGCTCAATCTAGCTCAATGTCACTCAGCTCAAAATTGTGCTTTTTTTGGATGTAGCTCAGTGTGAATGGGGTCTTAAAGATGGGGCTGACCAGGAAGGAGCCCCAATTAAGCTGGGTGTCCTTACTGGAGTGAACAGGTTTAGGGTGCCTGTAGATATAACCTCTCTGTTACAGAGCACACATGTTTATTTTAATGCAGAGGGGGTGAGAAGGAGAATCTGCCGTGACAGGGGGAGGGTGGGATTCCCCTCTCCCCGCTCCGATCTGCCATCGCTGACTGGCGGAACAGACGGGGAAGGGGGCGGGTACAGCTGGCTCTGCCTCTAGATAGGCAGAGCCAGCTGTCACTCACGCAGCTGGGTGGATCCCGTCATCTACGTCGGGATCCGCTCCGGCTGCGGGGTCTCAGTATACCGCGAGCTGTAGCTCGCGGTATACTGAGCTTAGGGTAACGGGAGGACCCTAGTTTGTGTCCTCCCGTTACCCTAAGGAGAACTATGGGGAAAAGCACTGACCCCATAGTTCTCCTTTAACTTGATTTGTGTGAGTTCCTCGCTGTCCCATGAATGATATGGATGTTCAGCAGGGACACCCAATAAATGGGTTTTACAGATTTAGAACCAGATCTGTAGGGCCAAGTCTTTAAGACCCCATTCACACTGAGCGATATGTAGTGCAATTTCAGCTCCAATTTGGAGCTGTTCACATCTCACAGCTCAATGTCGCCTTTAGCTCCTCGCTCAAGCTTGTAGCTCGAACATTTTTCGGTGGATTTTGTGCAATTTGGCCCAATAGACTTAAATGGTGTAGCTAAATGTCGCGCGACATTGCGCAACATTGTTGCGCTATGTCGTGTTACAGAAGTGTCACTTTTTCACAAAAATATAACAAGGAAGGAATAATGTCACATCAAGACCGCTTTTGATTGGATAAATCCCAATGTAGCAGCTACAAAGTCCCTGCGAAAAGTCGTGCTACGTAGCGCAACAAAATGTGCACTGTAGCTCAATCTAGCTCAATGTCACTCAGCTCAAAATTGTGCTTTTTTTGGATGTAGCTCAGTGTGAATGGGGTCTTAAAGATGGGGCTGACCAGGAAGGAGCCCCAATTAAGCTGGGTGTCCTTACTGGAGTGAACAGGTTTAGGGTGCCTGTAGATATAACCTCTCTGTTACAGAGCACACATGTTTATTTTAATGCAGAGGGGGTGAGAAGGAGAGCACTGTGGACAAAGGTTGCTAATGTCCCTCATCTCTTTTGCAGTAAAAAAAAAGCATGAAAAGTTCTTTAGGATAATACCTTCTGTTTACATTTTCATATTATGATCATATAATACAGTATATCCAAAAAGTTTACAAATGGTTAATGTTTTAAGCAGCGCTGTGGTGATGTTTGAATGTTACGGTTTTAAAACATTAAGAAAAGTTTACCATTGATAAATATTTTTTCGTTATTACTTTTCCTTTTTTTTTCTTTTTTACATATTGTGGAAAAGAACATATTTGAATTGTTAATTGTGGAAAAGCAGTGACAGACACCATCCAATAGTAACCATATTTCAACTTTCATTGGACTGGTTGCTAAGGCTTTGTTAGAACGTGCACATAAGTCTTTGCTGTAATAAATAAAGGCCAGGACATCAATCTGGCACTTTTGTTAAAATGGTGTTGTCTATGAATGTGTTTTATACTTCAGCGATTTAACTATTTCAATAGGAAAATAGGATTTTTGTACTCACCGTAAAATCCTTTTCTCTCCGTTCATTGAAAAGAGCAGATCGTCCAGGTACCCCACGATCGAAACCCCGTGACAACGCAACAGCGCCAGAATCGGGGCTAGCACCTTGGTGAACAATTTTTTTTTATTGTTCCTAGGGAAAATTGCATTTAGGATTGTTCCTTTAACAAACACTTATGTGATATCTATAAATCAGGTGTAAAAATAGTAAGTCCCTCTGCACTCCTCACAGGGCTCCCGGGCCCAAGTACTTGTAGTGGTGCTCGCAGTGACAATCACGGATGGCATCGTGCAACAAACAGTGGAAAGCAGAAATCACCAGCACTCAGTAAATATCTTTGATGTCCATTTAATCGGACCAATCGTCAATTGTCATGTACAACATAGCGACGTTTCGGGACCGCACAGGATCACACATTTTCGCCCTGATGAAGGGATCCTGTGCAGTGTTACATTGTTGCCCTGATGAAGGGATCCTGTGCGGTGTTACATTGTTGCCCTGATGAAGGGATCCTGTGCGGTATTACATTGTTTCCCTGATGAAGGGATCCTGTGCGGTCCCGAAACGTCGCTATTTGCTAACCCTGCAATATTAGGGCTCCTGCAGACTTTTCCACCCAGTCCCTGCAAATCTAGGGTACCTGGAGATTGTTCCACCCAGTCCCTGCAATACTAGGGCTCCTGCAGACTGTTATACCCGGTCCCTGCAATACTAGGGCTCCTGCAGACTGTTCCACCCAGTCCCTGCAATACTAGGGCACCTGGAGACTGTTGCACCCAGTCCCTGCAATACTAGGGCACCTGGAGACTGTTCCACCCGGTCCCTGCAATACTAGGGCACCTGGACACTGTTCCACCCACTCCCTGCAATACTAGGGCACCTGGAGACTGTTCCACCCGGTCCCTGCAATACTAGGGCACCTGGAGACTGTTGCACCCAGTCCCTGCAATACTAGGGCACCTGCAGACTGTTGCACCCAGTCCCGGACCTTCTGTTATGGGACTGGAGGAAGTATTCAATGGACTGCAAGTGCTGTGAATTAACCTTTAACATCCCTGGCAGATGATTAGGTGTTCATTGTGAGCTCAGGTTTAACTCTTTGTACATTGACATTCATTGACAAAGTGAACACACACTGAACGAACAGCCTCTTTTACTTTAGTGAATCAGCACCAATAATTCCCCTATGCGCTGACAGCCCCGCCCACAGCACGCGGTCAGTCCATGACGATTTGATCCGCCCCAGACACACCAGAACAGTCTACGAAACGCCCCATGACGCCGGGTTCTAGAGACCTGTCAATCACCGGCGATGGGTGTAAACATATGACGTCACCTCGGTGGAGCAGCTGTTTAGCTGACGACAACTGTGAGGCTGTACCAATCTTGCATTAGGGGAGTTCGTAGCAAACCATGAGCAGGACCGAATTGCTCGCCTGTTAATAATTTACTCTCTGGTGATAATAGATACATTTCCCTTAAACATAAACCCGAATTCTTGGTCGTTCACGTGATGACGAGGAAGTTATAGCTGGTAATTCGGGCCACCCCCCCTCCGTAGAAGAGGTGAGGTTTCCCGTTCCAAGGAGCAGGACTTGTTTTTCTTTCGCTGTGTGCTCACATATCCCTCCGCCAGGGTCGGAGCTCCCGGAAGAGAGAGCGTTGTTCGGTGTTCTGCCGCCGGGCTCGCTCTGTTTTCTTCGTGTTTCCCGGGGTGACCGCCGTGACATCTTGTGTGGAATATTCCAGACAGCGCACCTCAGGACCGCGGCCTTCTCCTACTCCCTCTCCCTCCATTGTGTCTCCACAGGCCGGTTGTTTGCTTTCCGGTAACGGTGACAAATGTCAACCCCGGCCAGACGGCGCCTTATGAGGGATTTTAAGAGGTAAGATGGCGAGTCTCCGGGGAGGTGGACGTGGGAGGGCTGGCTTGTGTAAGTGAATCTGACCGTCTGTTGTGTTCTTCTCTGTCCCAGGCTGCAGGAGGACCCCCCTGCTGGCGTGAGCGGAGCCCCATCCGAGAACAACATCATGGTGTGGAATGCCGTCATATTCGGGTAAGAGTGCCATGATGGGGTCTGGGGTAAGCAGGTACAAATACAGGGCCCTCTCTATCATATTGGGGTAAGAGTAACAACACTGGGCCATGATGGGGTCAAAGGTCGACAGATACAAATATGGCCCACCTCCTCCATCAGAGTCATGTAAGAGTTAGAAATCATTTGGTACAATTCATGAGAGCCCCACTATCATATTGTTATATTTGGGTAGGAGTGTGATCACCAGGTACAGTTTATGTCCC